GCTGAGAAACCAAACAAAGAGAAAAGCTAACTAACTATTAACAGTGTAAACTAACTCCACTAAGAAAGAAAAGAGCCAATAAAAACTATACAGGTATGCAGGCTCAACGGTAACAAGAGTAATGAACTGGAATAAGTGGGACGACGTCGTGGTGGTACCAACGACGTCGCAGAGTGCTTCTTCAAGCAGCAATCCATAAACCAGCCTCTAAGTCAAACCCATGAACCAGAATATGGACTGAGTCGAACCAGTCGACTTGTTCTTCATTCTTCAGAGGCCCCCTCAAGCTGAGGAGTGTATATGTTGGTGACTCCCAGCTTGACAAGAAGGAAATGAAGGCGATGACGGCTTAGTCCTTTTGTAAAAATATCTGCAAGTTGTAGTTCTGATCGGACATGGCTCACCGTCACAATCTTGTCAATAATATGTTGTCGAATCAAATGACAATCAACCTCAATATGTTTGGTTCTTTCATGAAAAACTGGATTGTGTGCAATATGTATTGCAGACTGATTGTCACAGAATAAGGTTGCTGGAGTTGAATGTTGTACTCCAAGTTCTGAAAGCAATTGTTTAAGCCAAACCATTTCACAAGACAGCAGTGCCAGGGATCTGTATTCTGCCTCAGATGAGGATCTGGACACCGTCTGCTGTTTCTTAGTTTTCCAGGTAATTAGGGAATTTCCAAGGAATGTACAATACCCTGAAAGAGACTTCCTTGTATCAGGACATGCTGCCCAATCAGCATCTGTATACCCCTTAAGCTGCAGACTAGTGTTAGACTGAAACAATAGTCCTTGTGTGGGGTGATCTTTGAGATACCTTAAAACATGGTGTGCTGCCTGCAAGTGTTGATCTGTTGGAGCTTGTTGATACTGACAAAGTTGTTGAACCACATAGGTAATATCAGGTCTGGTGGTTGTGATGTATTGAAGCTTTCCTACCAGCCTTTTATATGGTGAAGGATCATCCAATAGATTCCCAGCTCCTGCAGACAACCTAGTCTTCATGTTAATTGGAGTTAATGCAGGTTTACAACTGAGAAACCCTGCATCCTTTAGCATATCAAGACAATACTTCTTCTGGCAAACAAAGATTCCTTTGGGACTCCTTGCAATTTCCAATCCCAAAAAGTATCTCAATGTACCTAAATCCTTGATTTTGAATTCCTTAGCCAGCTGCTGTTTGGTCTTTAAAATTTGATCCAAATCATTTCCTGTGACAATAATGTCATCAACATACACTAATATGATCAGAATAGAATCTCCACAAATACAAGTGAACATGGAGTAGTCTGCTTGAGACTGTTTGAATCCAAGATTGATCAAAGAGGTAGTAAGCTTAGCAAACCATTGTCTGCTAGCTTGCTTTAACCCATAAAGAGATTTTCTTAATAAGCAGACCTGCTTATGTCCATTTTCTGCAACTGATAAACCAGATGGTACTTCCATAAATACTTCTTCTTCAAGGTCTCCATGGAGAAAAGCATTGCTTACGTCCATTTGATGTAGATGCCAATTCTTAACAGCTGCCACTGCTAATAATGTTTTCACTGTATTGATTTTAGCTACAGGAGAGAATGTATCCAGAAAATCGATTCCATGTACTTGAGTGAAGCCTCTAGCAACAAGTCTTGCTTTGTACCTCTCTACACTTCCATCTGGGTTGAGTTTTATCTTGAAAACCCATGTAAATCCAACTGCTTTCCTTCCTGGAGGTAAGTCCACAATATCCCAAGTATGATTGAGCTGCATAGCTTGAAGTTCTTCTGCTATTGCCTTTCTCCAATGAGCATACTGCATGGCTTCTTTATAAGTTTTTGGTTCAACCAGGTTCAGCACGCTAAGGGCATAAGCTCTATAGGATGGAGTAAGATTATCATGAGATAGAACACTGCTAAGAAGATGTGGACTGTTGTGTGAGGGCTTGAGATTTGGCAAATCTGTCTTATAGTTCTTAACAAGATAATCAGGAGGTTTAGAAGTTCTCCCTGATCTCCTCAGCGCTGGTTCTGCTACAGATTCTTGAGGAATGACCACTTCTTCCTCTTCTTCAACAGTATCCTGTTCTAGCTCATCAACTTCAGGATCAGGTTCAAAGGATGTGGTTGGGGAAGGTTGTTCTGGTTGTGATGGAGAGGTTGTATTGGTGTTGGTTGTGTTTTGTGAAAGGATGTTTGATTCTGGAAAAACATCAAAGGTAATAGGTTGAGAGATATTATGTGTAGGCTGTAAAGGTTGAGTGAGAAAGTCCTTCCTGTAGGGTAAGATCTGTTCATAGAACTTAACATCTCTTGAAACAAAGACAGCATGGTTTGACAGGTCCAACAACTTGTATCCTTTCATACCATAAGTGAATCCCAAGAATACGCACTGTCTAGCTCTACTTTCAAATTTCTTTCTTCCATGAGCCAATGTCCCAGCATAAGTGAGACAACCAAAAACCCTTAAGATGTTGTAATCAGGAAGTTTGCCATAAAGCCTCTCAAAAGGTGTCTGGTTGTTCAACAAGAGTGAAGGCAGCCTGTTAATCAAGAACACTGCATGTAAAACACACTCTCCCCAAAATGATAACGGGAGTCCAGATTGAAATCTTAAAGCTCTGGCTACACTAAGAATATGTTGATGCTTCCTTTCCACTCTTCCATTCTGTTGTGGTACTTCAACACATGAAGTTTGATGTTGTATTCCTTGTTGACCATAGAAGTCTGGCATTTGAAACTCAATTCCCTGATCTGACCTTATGGTTTTGACTCTCTTATCAAAGTGAACATTCACCATCATACAAAAGTTTTGCAATAAACCACGAGCTTCAGACTTAGCTTTCATCAAATAGATCCATAAGCATCTAGTATTGTCATCAAGAACAGTAAGAAAATAACGATAGCCATTGTAACTCATTACAGAATGAGGACCCCATATGTCTACATGTACCAGATCAAAAGGGGCATTAGCAATAGAAATGCTTAAATCAAAAGGTAGTTTCTTTTGTTTGGCAAAATGACAACTCTCACAATGCTCAACTACTGATCTCTCAACTACTGGACTACTTTTCTGGATAACATTTTGCCTCAAAGATGAAGGATGTCCTAGTCTTGAATGCCATAGATCAAGGTTTTGCTGGGTGAAATTGTATGCTGTGGCAATGGTATGGATATTGGCTTTGGCATGTGGGACTGGTTCATCACTTTGGGACATTTGATATAGACCTCTAGCTTGATGGGCCAAGCCAATCCTCCTCATGGTAAGTAGGTCCTGGATTTCACAGAATGAGGATTTGAAGGTAAGAGAAACTGGTAAGGTTTTGGTTAATTTGCTCACAGAGAGGAGATTGAATGTGAAACTGGGCACATAGAGGACTTGATGCAAAAACAAGCCACTTGGCAATCTAACAGTACCAATATGTGTTGCTTCTGCCTTTTGACCATTAGGAAGGGTTAAAAAGACATCATGAATGACTTTATGTGATAGGAAACAGGCTAAATTACAAGAAATATGATCAGTTGCCCCTGTGTCAACTATCCACACATTAACCAGCTCATTAGAATTTCTTCTAGTATGAGAAGTAAGGATTGACTTGCCTGCAAAGTTGGTCATAACTACAGGATTCCTTGAAACAGAATTCACATGTGGGGCAACTCCTGGAGATGAGGGTCTGGAGGAATTAGGTGAAGCTGGTGGTGATTGATGCAGAATGTTCATTATCCTGTTGTAGTCCTCATTGCTAAGTTTCAGATTTCTGAAATTGGACGATCCAGTCTCCTCTTCCTGACTACCCTGTGATCTAGATGTAGTCTGTTCTCCTCCACTTGTGTTTCCTGGAATAGAAACAGATCCAACAAAGGGACTCCCAGAACCACCTTCCATTAACCTTTTGTTCTTAGCCTTTAACTTCCAACAGTCTTCTTTGACATGATTATCCTTTTTGCAATACCTGCAAAACAGGCCTTGAACTTGTACCTGACCTCTTCTCTGGTCTTTTCCTCTATTACCATCAACTGCTAGGGCTAGATTATCAGCAACTTTAGGTCCAACCCCTTGGGGATCAAGCTGTCTTTCATGCTGCAGAACGTAACTAAAAGCAGCTCCAATACTTGGCATAGGTTTCATCATGAGCAGATTTGTTCTAACACCCTCATAGTTTTCATTCAATCCTTTTATAAATATCATAACATAATCATCATTCAGAAAATCCCTCATGATTTTCAAAGCTGCAGTAGAAGGACAATCTGCTAAAGAGCAAGGAACAGACACAACAGTCCTATACTGGATATATTCTTCCCAATGAGTCTTGAGTTTGGTGAAATACTCGTTCACACTAAGAGATCCTTGCTGGCAAGAGTATATCAAAGTCTGTAAATCAACTAGCCTTACAGCATCAGCCTGACCATATCTCATCTTCAGATCTTCCCAGATCTGATGAGCATTTTTCAGTACTAGGTACACTATCAGCCATCTTATCATCAAGAGAGTTAAAAAGCAGCCTAGTACCTGAGTATTGTTGGCATCCCATTCTTCAAATGTGGGATCAGTATTTGCTGGTTGGGGTTTAGATCCATCAACATAACCAAGTCTCTTCCTGGTCCTCAAGGCAATACGAACAGATCTACTCCAGAGGTTGTAGTTCTTACCATTGAACTTCACAGAAACGATGGATTGTGGAACAAGTTGATCTGTTGAACTGGTAGCTAAGACATTGGTAGACATGGTTCCTGATGAAGTAGAACCAGTAGATCCACCTGTTCCTTCAGTAGCCATTTTTTTTTATAAAGAAACCCTAGCAGAGTGAACGAAGCTCTGATACCATAAGAATAGGGTTTGTAGAAACTTTCTGTTTCATTGAGATGGCAAGAACATGTACAAGCAGCTTATATAGTGCTGCTGAGAAACCAAACAAAGAGAAAAGCTAACTAACTATTAACAGTGTAAACTAACTCCACTAAGAAAGAAAAGAGCCAATAAAAACTATACAGGTATGCAGGCTCAACGGTAACAAGAGTAATGAACTGGAATAAGTGGGACGACGTCGTGGTGGTACCAACGACATCGCAGAGTGCTTCTTCAAGCAGCAATCCATAAACCAGCCTCTAAGTCAAACCCATGAACCAGAATATGGACTGAGTCGAACCAGTCGACTTGTTCTTCATTCTTCAGACCTACCATGTCATCAATTAAAGGTAGTAGGAAAGCAGGGTGGAGAGCTTTACCTGCTCCTGGGTTAGGGGATGCTCTTTCCAACCCATCACCGCAACACGTTTCTCAACCCATCTATAAGATCCACAAGGCTTTCATCAGAAGCATCTGAGCAAAAACCATATGAAAATGAGCGACTAAAAACAAAACTGAGAGTCATAGGTGGAAAACGTATGAATCATGCATGTTTTACTAAACCGGAAAACTGGTGAAGAGAAACTCAACTAAAATCGACAACGAAAAATGAAGCTGAAAGTTACGACTGGCTCCTTCCTTGTTCTCCTTCACCATGGGTGTCACCGAAGACAGGCTGAAACCCAAAAGAAAAAAATAAAGAAAGGGTCGGGAATTTCCAAGCCATCGCCACAAAAATTCACCATCTTTGTACCACCAAACCACTGATGTTGCTCCCACAAAGTATTGAAATGCAAAAAAGGGAAAAGAGGTTCAACCCAATCGCACGATTTTCCCCCCTTTCTCAGTTATGGCATCGATGCCGCGTAACCCAAACACCTGTAACGTTGATTTGCTATCTTCGACGAATGATGGTCGCGATGATCTGAAGCAGATCCGATACTCTTGTAGGGAAGAACGTCGACGAACCCAAACCCCGCTCAGGCTCCCCTATTTCCCTCTCTCGATTGGCACTGCCTCTGTTAAAGAAGAAGATGGTAGTCACCCTTGGCCGCCTCTATCAATTCTTCGATTCAACGGAGAAGAGAAGAAGACCAGTCGTCCGCGCCTAGACGGCCTTTCCTTTCTCTCTCTGCTTCTTCTTTTTCCGATACAGAGCAAGAGATAGGGAGAGAGACATGAAAGTGATCAGAAACCCTGAATACTGAGAATCAAAAGCAAAAAAGAGATGAGAAACCGGCTTCGCATCCATACCTGATCAAGATCAGCAGCTCATTTTCCTTCCTGCTCCATCGCCCTCTGTTGCAGCAACACCTCAACCGCCGCCGCCGCCGCCACCTCCAAGAGCCACCTCCAACCCTTCCCCCATTCAACGCAGAAAGCAAAACCGAAAACCATCGCCACCAGCCCACCACCCTCTCCCTACCGAACGGATGCCTCGCCGTCGTGCCTTAGCTAGAACCCCGTCGAGGCGACCTCCCGCAACCGCCTCTCACGTCATCATCAGTTATAGCATCGATGCCGCGTAACCCAAACACCTGTAACGTTGATTTTGCTATCTTCGACGAATGATGGTGGCGACGATCCAGGCTTTCCCCAACCTCTTCACCACGGAGATCGGTCGCTGCACTCCAAACGCGATCTCCCCAGTCCCAGCAGAAGCGGGCCGTCACTGCTTTCCGCCGTTGACCACCAAAGCGTCCGGCCCTCTTCCCATGAACTCAGCAACAGCCGGCCGTCAGCGCCTTCCTCTGCTGAACACGAAACCGTGACGCCCTCTTACCAGAATATTCCGATGGAAACTGATTCTCCTCCTGTCCTGCGGGTAGGCGAAAGGATAACCTGGGAACCCAGTAGAAAAGGTGGGCTTATTTCAACCAAACGAAAACTAAATGAAAACTATATGATAACGTGGGAAATCAGGAGAAAAGGTGGGGTAGTGGACGGTTTCTTAGTTCTGCAATCTGGCGGGGAGTTTTATTTTTTTCCCGCTTAACACCCTGCCACATCAGCTTCCTAAAATCACTCTATGAGCAGGAAAATTTGAATTGGAGGTGCAGTTTACTTTTCAGCTATAAATAATACTATTGATTTCTTCTCTTTCCTTTTGTTGTTTCTTCAATTAATAAATTTTGTTTTAGCTTACCTTTCACCATGGACATTGATCAAGTAGATCGAATCCTACAGCTACTAGCCAAGCATATTAATTGGAATAATTTTGGACAAAGCTATAGCATATTCATATGCTTAAGTGATTGTTAGAAAAACAGCTAAGAGCAATGTAATTAAATTAAGATAACCATTTTATTGTTCTTTTCTGGCTTCTTTTAGTTTACAACTAATAAAATATCAATTAGTTGAGGCTGATAAGATTTTTGTCCTCTAAGCTACCATCATTAAGAACCACTAATTTGAACACTCAACTTTTACTATATAATAATAATTAATAATAATGATTTCCTGGTGTGGTTTGCTTTGCTTGAGAACAACACATGCCATGGATTCCCAATCATATTGCCTCCCAATAAACAATATATACATCAACAAAAGAAAATACAACTTCCAAAGGGTGAGTCACCTAATTGAGAACAACTCTATAGAGGAACCTACTTAAGAAAAATTGGTGTGCAATTAATCAAATCTAAGAGGCGGGGCTATGTTTCGTATGGTGATCGTTGTCTCTCCGCAGTTTGTTCCTGTTCGTGTGAGTTTTATTGACCGGTTTCATAACAGACTTGTTCATGTATTGCACTCGACAAGTCATTTCATTAAGTGCTACATTTTTTGTAGGGTGATTTGTTTCTTGATAACGTTTAGCTTGTCCATAATATGTTTTTTTTTCATGATAACCCGAACGATCTAATGGAAATAATCAAATAAAAAATATTTATAATCATGAATATCATGTTAGAAAAATGAGGGGTTGGAGTGTGAACTAATGCATCCATTATCATTGTACAATGAAGCTAATTTGGGCTCCACGCGTTTTTATTTTTGTCACATTCTCCAGCTTTTGCTCTTTTCAAGTTTGATTAAAGGTCATCTTGATGAATGATTCAGCATAATGAAAAAGCACGATAATGAAATGACTATGAAATCAATAGGCACAATGTAAGCTTTGTAATGGACGAGTGAAAACATTTTAGGTTATACAATAAAACTTGAATTGTTAAAGACAATGTTGAAAATATCCTTTATAATCTAGAATTCGATCAGGTTTTGTCATTTGTTTAACACTCGGTTTTGATTTTTGAAAATATACAAGACGTAGTTGAATGTGTTGTGAGACTATTTGCTTGCCGACATGATTAGAAGCAACTCGTCCATTCTAATAAATATCGATCCTATTCAATATTCTAACATGCTTAATCTATAAATGAGTATCTATTTGTAGATGGAATTGTTTTTTAATATTTTCAATAAATTGAAACCATTTTGAAAATACGTTGTTCTTATGATATCTTTGGACTAAATTACGATAAGAATAATCAGTCACAAGTCTCCAAATGAAGTGATGAGTGCGTGAGCACCGACCCTTGGAAATTGCAATTTGGAGGGTACTAATCCGACATAACCCATCAACATAAAACGCTAACAATTAGGGGAAAACGCCAATTTTAATTAACTCACTAATCAATCTCGCTAAAGCTAACCCACCAGAAATAAATAGAGTTCAGAACCCAAAGCCCAAACTCCTCCCCCTCTCTCTCTCCCTCTTTCTGATTTTCTTCCCCACTGAAAACGCCAGTTTAGTTATGCCCTTTTTTGGGCCTTCGTAGAATCTTAATTCAGCACAAGATCAGGATTCAGGAGATTAGATTAGACAGCTTGGTAACGGAGTGGAGAGGGAAAAGGAGGGGGAAAGCAAAGAACCCAGCTGATGGGGAAGGCCAAGGTGAAATCCCTTGTGATTTGAGCAGGTGGAAGAGAGAAAGAGAGAGAGAGAGAGGGTGAAAGTTGGAATCTTTTTTTTTTTTTATCTACTCTTATGGAATGCCACTACCATCCCACAATCAGCAGCAGAGGAGGAAAAGGAATAAAGTGGGAGAAGAAGAAGAAGAACTGCAGCAGCTGTTTGGGGTTCTGGGTTTCTGCTCAAAAGGATTTTTCTCCTCAACGGTTGAAACTTAGAATCAGCTGTTTTTGTTGAATCCCAGTATTCGTGGCAATGAGAAGCCAGCATTATAAACTTGGGTTTTTCCTGTTCTTGCTCTTCTTTGGTCCAATGGGTAATCAGCTGCTCTTCCTTTTGAATTTTACTTTTTTGCTTACTTTGGTAGTATGATTACTCTTCTCCATGATTGATCCTAGATTTTGTCTGTAGAGAGATTGCTTTTTGTCATTTGTGTGTTCTTGTGTTGCTGAGTGATGGCTGAATTGAGCTTAGGTTTTCCCCCCTCTTCTTCATTAGCAATCAAACTTGTTCTTAGCAGTTTGAAAGTTTGTTGACTCGGGTCAACTTGAGGTCAAATTGATCTTTTGTGTGGAAGTTCACTTGCTCTTTAGTAAGCAATTTCAAATTGCTTATATACAAATTCCAAGCAACAGCTTCAGATAATTAAACTAGAGCTGTTCTAGGGGGTTGATGAATGAATTTCAGCGGTGAAATTGAGGTTTAAATTTCATTTGGCGAACCAATTCGGCATTTCATCCTTTTGGATGACCAAAATTGGGTCAAATAGGTGGAATCGCGAATTCACCAAGCTCCCACTCTCCCCTTAGCTATTTAAGCTTTGTCTAAGGTTTTCTGCTTCTGTTCTTACCATCTTTGCAAATAGGTGGAATTGCTGTTGTTGATTCTCTCTTTGTCTTCGCCTTTCTTGTGCTGCAGCATCATTAGCAGACCCAGCATTCGTTGGAACATATGGAATAAACTATGGAAGAATTGCAGATAACATTCCATCTCCCGACGAAGTAGTCACACTTCTCCGGTCAGCAAAGATACGAAATGTTCGTATCTATGACGCTGATCACAGCGTGCTCACTGCATTCAGTGGAACCGGGTTCAAGCTCGTGATCGGCCTCCCCAACGGGTTTCTCAAAGACATGAGCAGCAATGCAAGCAACGCTATGAGCTGGGTGAAAGACAACGTCCAGAAGTTCATGCCAGGGATATGTGGTGTGGCAATAGGGAACGAGGTCTTGGGAGGAAGCGATGTCGAGCTCTATGGTGCTCTTTTAGGAGCAGCCAAGAACATACACAGCGCTCTAAACCAGCTCGGTCTATCTGATGCAGTCCAGGTCTCTACAGCTCACTCGCAAGCTGTCTTCTCCAACTCCTACCCTCCTTCCTCGTGCGTATTCGCCGAGAACATCGCTCAGTACATGAAGCCATTGTTGCAATTTTTCTGGGAAGCCGGGTCACCATTCTGCTTGAACGCTTATCCATTCCTTGACTACATGAACGATCCGGCCAGCATCGACATTAACTACGCTCTTTTCCAGAAGACGAAAGGGATTTTCGATCCAAAGACAGAGCTGCACTACGATAACATGCTGGATGCCCAGATAGATGCTGCCTATGCGGCTCTGGAAGATGCAGGGTTTGATAAGATGGAAGTTATAGTGACGGAGACGGGATGGGCTTCTAAGGGTGATGGGAATGAAGCTGCTGCAACGCCGGAGAACGCAAGGACTTACAATTTTAACCTGCGTAAGAGGCTGGCAAAGAAGAAAGGCACTCCGAGGAGGCCGAAGAACATTGTGAAGGCATATATTTTCGCAATATTTAACGAGAATTTGAAGCCTGGGCCAACTTCCGAGAGGAATTTCGGGCTCTTCAAGCCGGATGGGAGCATTTCTTATGATGTTGGATATAAAGGGCTAAAATCATCTACTGCTGATTCGGTGGTTATGTCATTGAAGGTAAATATGTACTTCCCTTTTATTCTTTTTGCTTCGCATTATTTCACATACCGACAATATCTAGAACTCCTAGTTCTGAATGCAGTCTTTGCACATCTTCATTAGCTTATCTTCTCTTTGGTTATATTCATCGATGCAGGATTTTCCAGCTCAAGGTTTGTTGAGGTCTTATCAGTTTGTCTGGACAATCTGTACCCTGGTATTGCTTCTACTGTTAAGACAATGATGTTTAAGGAACAATCATCTTTGTAAATCAGGCACTCAGGGATCAACAAGTTAAGAGAGTTCAATAGTTATACAGATACAATACGAATCCATGTCAAACTCCAAGAGTACCTACAAAGTAATACTGCGATTCCTTGGTATTATAGCATATTTCTTACAGAAATTGCTGATTGTTTGAGCTCTCTTAAGCAGAAGTGTGCACCTGGGTCAATCATAGAATCACTGCTTACCAGTTGTTTATCCACACGTTGCTGTAAAGAAGGCTGATCCTATGTTTTCTGAGGAACTTGAGCTATTACTGGCGACATAAATCACATCAAACCCACTTGTTGATCAAGCTAGAAACTTTTGCTTAGCTGCAGATGAATTCCAGAATGAAGATTCAGGGCAGTTGACCTGGGAATTAATTAGTTTAACGATGATTTTGGTATTTGTTGTGCCGAACCGACATGTGTGGTAAGAAGCTCATTCATATATAATATAAGAACGTAGGAAGCCTATTTATTTGACTTCATATGCAGAAGGCTTTGACTGTCCAATCTTGTCCAGAGGTCATTTGTAGTGTACTATTTGTTTATGGTGGTAATCTCAGGATCCCGCGGTTTCTTGCATTGATTTTCCAGGAGTCCATGATGTCATCCATGAAATAATCCTCCCTTTGGTGTTATTGGTCTTTCTATCTGACCAAATCGGAGAAGATCAACTTTCCTGGTTTTCCTTCTTTTGTTAAAAGATTGTTTCTCTAGCTTTTTAACCCTTTGATGCTTCATGAGGTGGAATTATGAAAGTATACAACACTAATCTAGTTTCTCTGGTCTCTACTCTGTTTTCCCAAGTTTTCATATCTTTCAGCTTGTAACTCTGCATATCAATCATAAAACGCTTTCAAATATTCGAACAAAAAACCTTTCACAATTTATCAACAGGGTGTCCTGAAATGAATTCACTGTAGTTGAGTAAGCATTTGGATAAATCGATCGCTGACAAGAATCTGCGAGAAAGTAAAAAAAAAAGAAGAAGAAGACGAGGTGCTGGATTATTCTCACACCAGGCATCGACTAACATAATCTGCAATTCGGGACATGAAATCGACTGAATACCGGAGAAAGATCTTCCAGAACTGGAGATCCCTGAAACGAACGACGAGAACAATGCGAGCACAAGGAGCAATGCCAGAGTTAGGCAACGGTGCAATGTCCACCCTGAAGCTTTCTCTATTGACCAGGCGGTGATCCAGTTAGGCAAGGTTGGCAAGAGAGATCTTGATGGCAGCATCAGAGTCGAGTCGGGAGAGTGCACCTGCTAGTTCAGAGAAGTACGAAACTGGACTCCTCCCATTGTAGAGATGAAAGGCAATGATGCAGACGGATACCGGAAGCATAAGATACGCCACCCAGATCAGCAGCTTAGCTGTCGACTAGGGTATTGCAAATGTCAAAATGCTTTCACCCTTTTCATGCTGCGAGTGAAATACAGTAGGTTCATAAGACAGCCATATCGAATCGAAATGAATGGAACGTGTGAATGGCAAACCGATGGAAACCACCACTGAACCTGAAGTCGTTTGAATGTCTTGTAATCAAGATCAGCATGGTACCAATTATCCGCCTCGTAATCGAGACACTTCCCCTGGCAATCGAGGGATAGAATTCGAGCCATGATACGGAAAGTGAAATCTACAAGTACAAGGTCGAAACAGCTCTACATTGTTCTCCAATTCAGCCGCCGCATTGCAGCAGTTTCTGGGTTTCCTCTCTTCACTACATCTGAACTTTCTCCACTGGTCACCAGTTCATAGAGGACACAGTCGTAAGACTCGAGCTCTTTCTGGAGGGCCGAGTAATACCTGCCAGGAGGTTGCAATAAGCTTAAATTTTATGCACCCAGGCCAAAAGGGATTCATATTCATAGTAAACCCAACAGGCAAAATTGTGGATATGCGGAAGAAAGAGCAGAATCAAATGTTGTAACTCACTCTTTGACTCTATGTCAGCAATGTGGAAGGCGGAAACCAAATCAACCTGGTCAAACAATGAAATCCGAGCCAAACTAAATTAGCCCACGACACAAAAAACTGAGCTTGATGAGTTGAAGACGAGCCAAACCTGGATAGTAGACTCAGGGGACCGCTTCCGGTAACTGACAATGGCGGTCTGCAACTCGCCGGTGCCTCTAATGGGACCTCTCTCGAACCTTGCAAAATCGGAAAACGAATCCGGGGACCAATTTTCGTTGGATTTGGCAGGGGAAGAAGAAGAAGTCGCCATTGTTGAAGCTTGTCGGGAGCTGGTGAGGAATTGGGGCAGAGAGATTTGTTCAATATAAACTGTTAGTAAAACCCCTAACTCGAATTCTGTTAACTCATTGGATAAGGAATAATGGAATGCGAATTTGTTAAGGAATGTGACTCTGAGCAGAACCTGACTCCCTGCTCTGTACTTCCTTGTTCATGGCGAACTTTAACTCTGGATCTCAATCAATAGAAACTCCTTCTAGTCTTGCAGTTTCAAATGTTGAAACAAAATATTTCACAGATCATCAATATTCCGCAGGGTTTGGGATATGTACTCAACAATCACAAGGCATTGAAAGGATAAGACCTTTTTGAATGGAATCAAAAGTTCTTGAACAAATTTGCAGCTCTGTTTTCCCCCTGTTTTCATATCTTCCAGCTTGTAACTCTGGAAATCAGTGTCGATAGAAAAGGTTTTCTAATAAGCAATTCGAACAAAACTCTTCCATAATTTATCCACAGGGCATTCTGAATATTTGTACATTATAATTGTGTATGCATTTGAATGAATGGTTTATCAACACCAACATTATTTTCAATTCAGAACACAAAATTGACCGAAAACATAAAAAAATGATATTTATCTTCCCGTCCAAAAAGTGACATTCGAGTCATGACTCAACTAATTTGCTTCAAGAATTTGGTACATGGATTTGGTACCAAAAAACCAACTATCAAGAATTTAGGTACAATCCGTTGTTTACTTGCATCTTTTTTGGAGACCAAATTCGTGGGGCCCACGGATTTTAAGGGTCCAAATCCGTGGACCCCACGGACTTATAAATCCCACATGTTGATGTGGGATTTGGAATATGGCATAAATCCTTGATGGCATTTTACCCATATACCCTCATGCACTTTTAATATTCCAAGGTTGCCCTCAAATTTAACTATTATACATTATAATTAACAATAAATGAATAATATAAACGTTCAATTAATGTGCAAACATGAGTTAGATTTTTTATATAATTTCTTGTGTTCTAGTTTTCTTTGACCTTTTCATGGAACGTGTAATTCTTTGTTCTCCCGATTCTAATATATGTTGTTATATGTTACTTTTGAAAAGGAGGACAAAGAATTGGTAATTGATTATGTTACGTTAAAAGTTAAAACGAAATTTTCTCGTTTATTATTATTGTCCATGTGGCAACATTATGCTTATTAGTATGTATTGTCCTTGTTTTGTGTACATATCATAAACATGTCAAACATATAGAAAAGGGCAGTAATGTAATTTTTGACTTCAAGTAGTAAATCCCACACTTTTAAATCCATGATAAAAACATCCCAACAAACAAAGGATTGTTACAAATCCATGATGCCTCAAATCCTTGATAAATCCTTGGGTTTTTAAATTACAAAACCCTCGTTTATAAATCCATGAAGCAAACGACCCCTAAGTTACATATCAGTTGAATTGCAGCTCAATGAGTTTACGAGTTATCCTCGCTAATAAATGGAGTTGTGGATCAATTAGGTTGTGGGGTCCGTTGCATCGCAGTTTGTAAGTGATTGATTTTTGGTCAACTCGAACTACTATTGGGTTGCGTTGGACAAGCTTAAACATGGTTTAGGACTTTAGAAATGCTAGATAGGTAGGTTGAATCACTTTAATTTTCATGATATTTTGGATTAGTAGGATGATTGCTCAATTCGATCGGATCACGAGTCATTAAATTATGGATCAGATTGAATTACGGGTTCATTTAAGTTGCGGACTGTTCTATACCGAGACTGATTATATCGGCCAGGTTAGATTTTGATAGCTCTACTTTTGTTTTATACTTGTATCTTATAACAATTTTTTTTTTTTTTTACATTCCAACTCAAATTAACTTTATAATCTAACCGTTTCTTTGTCATTCTCTTTAACCCTTTGTCAAATATACAGTAGGAACTCCACTAGGCCACGTATGTTAGCAGAAACTTGTGTCAACTACTCCCTAGAGAGAAAGGAATAGAGTTTATCTGAAAGTAGCTTTTGAGCCAAGTCAATAAATGTCAAATTTGATTAGGTTTGTGGGGTAGTTAAAGTCTCATACTAGCTTTAGACTAAGTGTGGGTTTCTTGATACTTCATCCGACTGTGACACATCAACCACCCTAAGAACATTGACGATGCTAATATGTAGCATGAAACATCTATTCAATTATACTGTTTCGATAGTAGGTTACAATTGCTAACATAATAGAGAACACCGCGTATTAGCGTATCCATTATAATGCATTCTTTAAATTATCTTATATCGTACACGCGCCAACGATCATCGTTGCAAGCGAGAACCAAGTGATAATGTTTAGTAAGCATGCTTAACTACCTTGCTCCCTTCAGCTTGACAACTACTTTGATCTCCTCATCAAGAACGAAGAGACTGTAAATAATTTACTCCAAAACTAACCGACCAGATGAAAGCCGCCCTGCCATTCGTGGAGAAATTGTCATCATTTGGTTACAAACTTATTCAGAACCCAAAAAAAAAAAAAACAGCATTAAGATAAGCAAGGATTGAACGGTCTAAGATGATCATGAAGAACAAGCCAAATGTCAGCAGAACTTATCATAAATAATCCTCAAATGTCATCTTCACCAGATACACCATTAGAATAAACAATCAGTGCCATTTGGAAGCAAGCAACCGAACCAAGCCATGATCATGAAATTGGACTGTTTCTTCTTCAACCCATTCCCATAAAGTAGCAGCCCTCCCACCCTAGCTAGCTTGCTGATGATGACAATGGCAAGATTTCAACAACTACCTTCCTCGCCGTTCCCATTTGCCATAATACATTATCCACCTGCTCCACGTGTCACCAACCCATTTCCTCTGCAGCAGTACCAACTCCATCTCCATCTATATAAAGGATCAATAGCCTCCACATTGGAACCCACCACATTCACAGAGGCATTTCATCGAACAGGTTGTGGGATCAGGACAGGAGCGGAAAGAAGGGGGGCGACCGACCTGGGAAGAGGGTTTTCAGAACACAAACAGTGATGGCGTCTGCAGGTGTTGTTGTGGCTGTGTTTTTAGCAGCAGCTGTTCTGTTTTCGATGGCAGAGGCGGCGGATTTTCAGGTTGGAGATGGACAGGGGTGGCAACCGCCTTCCGACTCGAGCTTCTACTCCACTTGGGCCAACGGCAAGACCTTCGCCATCGGTGACACCCTCAGTATGTTTCCTCGCAATCAAAATCGCGCTTTAAACTTTAGGAACTTATTTTTACAGTTTTAGAACACCAATACGTTTTTTTTTACGTAAAATCATGTTTTACGTAAAATCATGTTTTTCCTTTGCCAATATAGTCAAAATCTATGTTTTAAAACATAAAAACTTGTACTTCTATATAGAATCAAAATTTTGACGGCATTAATTCGAATCAATTTATTCCACCCTCAAAGGCAGAGCAACTAAAAAAAAACAGAGTAACTAATTGTTGTGGTTTGTTTGTTTCATTGCGCAGCCTTCAATTTTGCGACGGGGCTTCACGACGTGGCGGTGGTGGCGAAGGCTGAATACGACGCCTGCAACGTGGCGGCGGCGAACAACGTGATGAATACGGGGCCGACCACCGTGACTCTCAACTCCACGGGGATGCAGTACTTCTTCTGCACTTTCTCCAACCACTGCTCCAGGGGCCAGAAATTGGCCGTCAACGTTGACGGGGGAGGAGGAGGCGGCTCTTCCGGTTCCCCAACTACGCCGTCATCGGGCGGCGGATCTCCCCCGTCCACCGGCGGGAGCGGGAGCCCACCGTCGCCTGCGACTCCCAGTTCGGCGGAGAGTTTCGCGGCGAGCTTCGTTTTGATCTTGATTTCCCTTGCCGTCGGTGCCGTGGTTTGGTTTTAGCGACCGTATTGTGGAGTTGGATCTGTATTTTGACTATTAATGTACAACACCATTATGTGACCATGTTGATTATACTTCATTACTTTGTATCTTGCTGAGGTTTCTTGTTGAACTTTTCTTTTTGTATATTTTTTGCTCTCAGTTTTATGATATAATAAATAAATTTCATTGTTTACCTTTAGGTACTTTTTTTCTAATGAGTAAAACGGAGTTCGGAAAATAAGGGTGTGCAACGATTTTAGAATCAGAAGAAACTAGAGGATTATAGTTATGTGAGAGTATTTGATCCGACCCAAATACCCGTTGGACTTCTTTTTCCTCTAATATTAAAAGTTGGTCGCGTTACGTTCATTTAGATTTGGTATGATGTAGACTAAACTCTTGCACTAGTAGAGAAGAATGTCATATTATAATTTTATTGATTCGATATCATTTCATTACTTCTCGTTGTTGGTTAGGTAATTAGGTTTGAAAAAATTGACTTCTGCAATGAATTCAAACTCGATTTTTTAGAACATCTAATATCGTGGTTGTCTGGATATTCCCGGATAATATGCTAAAGGATGTCAAACTCACCGTTAACAATACATAAATCTATAGAAATCGATGATAAATGTATAGAATTTTTATTAGCGACTTAGACAGATAAGTGTGAATCAAAATAACAGAATATCGCTCAATTTAATCGGTCGATTGATCGAGTATGATGGATATGATATCACTAAAATCTCGACCTCGTTGATGATGAAGGAGATGGGCACTGAAATTAAGGCAGAAATGCAAGTGACACACGATATTTGTTGTGAAAATGGAGAAGAAAGAATGGCTGAATGGGTACTAGGGTGTACATGGGTCGGGTGGTTCGGGTTTAACCATTTTAATCACCCGACCCATGCACTACGGTTTGGAAATTATCAAATCCAAACCCACCCAAAAAAATTAAAACCCTACGGTTTGTTTCTAATTGGGTTGGGTCGGGTTGGCGATATTTTTAAGTAAAAACCCAACCCAACATAAAAATATATAATTATTATACACCATAAAAATATTTTATAACTAATTAAAATTTCAAACGAATAAACCGAGGTGAAAGCTATCAAAATTCAAAAATGTTGTTTGAATTTTAATAAAATGTGATTTACTTCAACATATGTCTAGTTTTTTCCACGATATTTGTTGAAATAGGCTAAAAAGGTTATAAACAAATGCATCCATAATATGTTATTCTATTAAAATTGTACACAAGAAAAAGGATTACGTGAATCATAACTATACTCAATTTATGTCTAAACTTTAAGTCGAAGAATGCATTAGATTAGGGAGACCATGATAGAAAAACATGGCGAAATATCTTAATTTTCTCATAAGTATTGCTATTTACGACACAAATATTTTTTAGATACGAACTCATACTAATAGTTGGAACACGGGTTGGGTCGGGTTCTACGGGTTGTGTAATCCAAAATCCAAACCCAACCCAAAAGAGGCGAGTTGTACAAAAGAAAACCTTCACCCAACCCAAAACCTTCGTTTTAGCGATAAATACGGGTGGATTGGGTCGGGTTGGACGGGTGGGTCGGTTTGCGGGTGTGTTTGTTCACCCCTAGGTATAGCAATAGCACAACTGCGCAAAGAGGAGAATCCACCAAACAAACGAGAGCCGGCCTGTGGGCTTTTACGAAAGGTTACATTTGATAAAAGGTTTAATGGGCCTTATGTGTTTTCAATATTCTCAAACCCAATCCATCCCATCGGAGGACCCAAAAGTGAAGCCCATATGTGACCCACGCCCACGGGACGGGAGCGTGGCAAAGGAAACTAAAACCAAAACGGCATTTACAGAGAGTCCAATATGTGGTAATTATCATAATTTCTTTTCCGTCACTAAACGAAGCAAGTAACCATGACCAAATTGTAAAATAAACTGAAACACGGAAAGGAAGAACACAAAGATTTACGTGGTATCCCCGATGAACGAGACTAATCCATGGAGAGCAGAGCTCTCAGAGAGGGTTTCACTATAGTTTGGCCGAACAGAAATCGAGCCTCAAAGTTACAGTGATGACAAAAGGGTTAACCCTAATAAATACCCCTTAACCGTGTAACCTAGGGTAATTAGAGATTAACCAAAATACTAAATGGTACCCACAATAAAGAGTACACAAAATACAGTCCAACACTCCCCCTCAAGCTGAGGCATGAAGGTCACAAATGCCCAGCTTGGACAAAAGAGAGTGAAACTGATCAGCACCCAAGGCCTTGGTGATGATGTCCGCCAACTGAGAGCAAGAAGCAACTTTCAGAGGGTCAACCGCACCAGTGACAACACGTTCACGCACAAAATGACAATCCATCTCCACATGCTTATGCGTTCATGAAAGACAGGGTTGGCGGCAATGTGAAGAGCAGCCTGATTGTCACAGTATAAGGGAGTGGGCAGACTGAGAAACCTCCAACTCTGTAAGAAGAAAACGAAGCCAAACAACCTCGCTAACCACACTAGCCATGGCACGGTATTCAGCCTCAGCAGAGGAGTTGCTGCGTTGCTTCTTGGTACGCCACGAAATCGGAGCACCCCCTAACTGAACAAAGTAACCAGTAGTGGAACGACGGGTGGTTTGACAACCACCCCAATCTGCATCGCAATAAGCCGTCAGAGTCAAAGAACTGTAAGAAGGAAAGAACAGACCCTGACCTGGAGCAGTCTTGAGGTACCGAAGGACACGATGAGCAGCGGTCACGTGTTCAGGACGAGGAGCGAGAACAAACTGACTCAGGACATTAAATGCATAGGTTATGTCGGGCCTCATGACAGTGAGATATAAGAGACGCCCCACAAGACGACAATAAGAACTCGCATCAACGACCTCATCGGTGGCAGGACCAGGGCGAGTGAGGGTGTGATTTTGTTCCATGGGAAAAGAACTCGGACGAGCGCCAACTACGCTGGCATCATGAAGAATATCCGGAGTATACTTGCGCTGATTGAGCACAATCCCGGCAGGGGAACGAGCTACCTTAATGCCCAGGCAGTACTTGAGAGGGCCATGGTCTTTGATGTTGAACCTATCATCAAGAAAGGACTTAACTCGGGAGATGAAAGCATCATCATTGCTAGTGAGGACAACATCGTCCACATAAATGAGGGCGGCGACGAAGCTGGCGCCACGATGATAGATGAGGAGCGAGTGATCGGCCCGAGAAGCCACAAACCCCAGCTCAGCAAGAGCGAGGGTGAACTTGGTGTACCAATTCCGGGACGCTTGACGGAGACCATAAAGAGAACGTCGGAGGCGGCAAACCCGAGTGTCACCCTTGGCAGCAAAACCGGGAGGAAGTTTCATATAGACTTCTTCATGAAGATCGCCGTGAAGGAAAGCGTTGTTAACGTCAAGATGATGAAGAGGCCAGCCCTTACTGACGGCAACAACAATGAGAACACGGACGGTGACAAGTTTGGCTACCGGAGCGAAGGTGTCATGGAAATCCACACCCTCAACCTGGGTAAAGCCTTTGGCTATAAGACGAGCCTTATACCGTTCCACAGAGCCATCAGGATGATACTTGATTTTGTAGACCCATTTGCAGTCAATAGCCCGCTTTCCCGGTGGCAAGAACTCCAAGGTCCAAGTACCATTGGCTTCCAAAGCCGTGATCTCCTTAATCATCGCCTCGCGCTAACAAGCATACTGAACGGCCGTGCGAAAATGGCGAGGCTCAACAACCTGGGTGATAGCGGCAAGGAAGGCACGATGGGAGTAGGAAAAACGGTGATAGCTCACCTGATTAGAAATGGGATGACTAGCATCATGAGAAGAAGACTCGCTAGCAGCATGAGAAGAGGACCCGGGTAAGTCAACATCATAAATGGCAAGCTTCCCCGGCGGCCGCCGAGTGCGATCCCCACAGCGCGGGGCACGAGGGGAGGCTAGAGTGGGGTTGATTGGGACGGGAGAAGCAGCAGCAGAATCAGGCGGCTCGCTCTCCTCCTCGACCAAATCGAGGGCGCCATGCTCCGCCTCGACATTAGTGTCCCCATGCACACCATGCAAAGGGGGATGTAGAGTCATCACCTACATCAAAGCTCTCGGTGACATCCCCAACAGCCTGTGAGCGTTCCAGAACCATCGGGTCAAGCTCCCCCTCAAGTTCAACAGCCGAAATGGGAGGGACAGCAGGAGAAGTAGTGGGCGGAAGCACAGCAACAGGTCGGAGAAAAGGGAACTCGGACTCGACAAAGTGAACGTCGCGCGACGTATGGATGCGACGGGAGACGAGGTCGTAGATTCGACAACCCTTCTGGGAATGGGGATACCCAACAAAAACACCACGACGGCCACGAGGAGCAAATTTATCCAAACCCGAGCTGGTATCTTTGGCATATGCTAAACACCCAAATGCACGAAGATGGGTGTAGGTATAGGTGTCAATCGGGCGGGTTCGGGCTGGGTTCAATCGGGTTGCGGGTTACTCGGGTTGCGAGTTCATCGGGTTGCGGGTTCGTCAGTTCGGGTTCAATCGGGTTCGGGTTTAATCGGGTTGCGGGTTAGTCAGGTTGCGGGTTGATCGGGTTCGGGTTCAATCGGGTTACGGGCAAATCGGGTTTGGGTTCATCGGGTTTCGAACCGGGCGGGTTGAGGGCGGATTGGGTTGCGGGTAGTTCGGGTCAACGCATCGAGTTACTTACTCGTTACCAACTTACACATTTTATTGCACTAATTTAAAATATTTTTCACAGTTTTTAATCAATTTCTTTCTACCTTGTATATACACTTAATTAAGAAAAACTAGTCAAAATCACCACAATCGAAATTTGAAATCTCGTCTTCCCACCACAACTATAATTGGGCCGCTCAAAATTTCATCATCACCCGCCCACTACAATTACACCAAAAACATAAAACCCTTCCATCTGCTTGCAAAAAATTGGGCGCCCAAAATTTCATCACTCCCGCCCAAAACCAAAATTTCATCACACCAGCCCAAAATTACTTATTAGTTCTTACCATGTGATCTTCTCCAATAATAAAGTTTATTATTATAGACAAAATGTCTTAGTTATTATTTATTATAAATATTAGCATTGTGCTCATTTTATATTTACTTTTTTGTAATTTGGTTAAAGAAATTCATGTCATAATTTTTGTAATTAAAAACCATAATTTTAAGTGAATTTCATATTTCGAACTTTCTTAACTAAATGTGAATGATTTTACTTAGGTTGAGAATGAAAAACTTTATTTGAAAATAATATATTTATTTTAACCAATTTATTTCTACCTCATATATATATATACTTAATTTTTTTAAAGAAACGAGTCAAAATGTTAAATCAATTTGTATGACTTGCAAACTTGTTATGTAATTAATCGTAATTGGTAAAGTACACTAGCTAATAGTAATGGTGATATCAATATTTACAACCAAAAGATACCATTAATTATTTATTTGATATTTTTGCATTATTTCAGTAGTATAATTAGATTAAAGTATCTCATTTAGTATACCATGCAAATGTGGTATTTGGTGTGTAGTATTAGGCAAAAACAGAGTGATAAAAGAAGTTATTTCGAAATAACTCATTGCCTAAATAACTTTAGTAAACTGTTGCCAAACGAGTTATTTGTAAAATTGTTCGAATTATCCTGAAAATTGAACCATTAAAGATTAACTATCAAATCTAGTAAAATTATTGGGACTTCAATCATAACTTACTCAATAACATATATCCTATACACTTAGCCTTACCCTCAATCGACAATATTAAGTTAGTACATGTTGTTGATTGTATACCATAAACCATCAATACATTATACACTAATCACATACCCTATACCCTAACCATATGTCCTTATGAGTTGTGATTTTGCTAGTAGAGTTAATTTAAAAGTGAAATTCATACTTTGCTTTTCAAAACATAAATAAAAAGTGATATTTGCTAATTGCTATACCTAGGGCTGCAAATGAGCCAAGCCACTCACAAACAGCTCGGTGCTCGGCTCGAGAAATATTCGTTCGATACTCGGTTCGTTTCTTAATGAGCTGACTCGTTAGCTAGCTCGTTTACTAATGAACCGAACATGAGTTAGGTCCAGCTCAACTCTTCAGGCTCGCAAGCTAGCTCGGCTCGATGGCTCGTTGAGCCTAGCTCGCGATCTAAGCCGATAACGTGACTCACGAGCTATATTGACAAGCCAACACAATTAGCTTGTGGGATAATTTACTAATGATTAATGGGATGATTAATGTACATGCTTCATCATGAAGTAACATGAGAGTATGCTTACGCGGCTAAACACAATGCGCCTATTTTCCGATTATTCTTTTCGCCTAACTCAATCTTTGGAATCCTAAGTGTGTGTTAATTTTCACTATATGTTGAATCTAAGTACGAAATGTTATTTTGGTGTAATATTATATGTTATAACTCATATGTTAGATGAGATTTGATATAATTTATCAGGATAACTACAATATAATGACGCTTTCCATATTTTCGGGCTAAACCGGGCTAAAATGGGTGACCCATTAACCTTTGACCCACTAGCTCAATCGGGTTCGGGTCAACCCTTCCAATGGAGGGTTTTGGATTCAGCGATGCAAGCAGTGCGGTGATGTAGAAGAGGAGCCGAGCAATACATTAGTTTCTATTCTACCACATCGACAAATAAAGAAAGCACGCGTATTCATTCACCTATATATTAGTAGTGGCTTCCTTTGAGAAACCCAAATCCATAATTGGTCTTTATAGTGGGCCACGAGTATGGACTTATTATGGTCAGATAAAGGCTCTCCTCTTTGAGGTTTTTATCGAGTTACGGGTTGACAAGGCCCGTGACGATAGTGAGTTTGTTCGATGAGCCTTTCGTTTGATTTGGCTCGTTGATCTAGCTATCAACCCTTTGTCGAGTTTTGTTCGAGTCTAGCTCGAGTTGGGTAATACTGAGGTCGAGCCGAGCTCAAGCTTGGTTGTTACTAGCTTGTCTCAAATTCGAGCTGAGCTCGAATTTGTCATTTTGGATTCGAGTTCGATATCAGCTAATCAAAAATTCGATTTGGCTCATTTGCAGCCCTAGCTATACCCTAATCATATATCTTGTACTTTAACACCACATACCTTGTACCCTAATTATGTACTATAAACATAAATTAAAAAGGGATCTCCTGTCGTTAAAAACTTCAAATGACTTCAAGTGAACATATGTTCATAAAAAACGTAGAACCGTCAAAACCATCAATATCTTATACCCTAACCATATACGCCCTAAACCATCTGTACCTTATACCCTATACTCTTACCATATACTTTATACCCTAAAAAACGAATCGTCAAACATTACTTATCAAGTTTAGTATAATTGTTGTAACTAATGGTTAATTTATTTATTAGCCCATAAACAATTATATACATATATATTAGCCTTCAAAGCACATAAGAATAAATTTAACTAGTCATACCCTCCATATAAAAATTAAAGATTCATATTTCAAAGGCTAAAATTTTGAAAAATAAAAAAATGGAAAACTCCAAATTTGTTTCCTTCTTTCTTTTCACAAAAAAAAAAAACTAAAATTTCCCTCCTTCTTTCTCTTTCCATAAATTAGAAACACTCAATTTTCCCTCCTCTTTCTCTTCCATAAAATTGAAAGAACCAAATTTCCCTCTTCCTTCCTTCCACAAAAATTTGAAAACTCAAAATTTCCCTCCTTATTTCTCTTTCATAATCAAAAGAACCAAGTTTTTCCACTTCTTTCTCTTCGTACAAATCAAAACCACCAAAATTTCCACTTGTTTCCTTTCTAGAAAATTCAAAGAACCAAATTTCCCTCTTCTTTCTCTTTTCAAAAAGTTGAATACACCAAAATTTCCCTCTTCTTTTAAAACCATCAAATTACCAAATACATTACTTTATTTATATTTAATTAATAATTTTATTGAACAGTTAAATTAACCAAAAATTTAATTTGTATATTATATTAATATTTTCCATAATATCAATTATTAATTCTTTATTATTAATATTGACATTATGTTGATTTTATATTTACCTTTTTAATTTTGTTAAAGAACTTAGTGTTCAAGACACCTCAATGTTTCAATTTTTGTAATTTTCTTAAAATACATAATATCAAGGGGGTTTCATATTTTTTAAATTCCCTATACGAAATGAAAAAATAATTTTACTTAAGTTTAGAATGAAAAACTTTATTTTGAAAAACTATGGATTGTATATTATAATAATTATTCAAGCAGATTAGGTGAAGTTCGGGTTGAGTCGGTCGGGTTACGGGTTAGTCGGTTCGGGTTAGTCGGGTTACGAGTCAGTCGGGTTGCGGGTCAATCGGGTTCGGGTTTCGGGTTAGTCGGGTTGCGGGTTAGTTGGGTTGCGGGTCAATCGGGTTGCGGGTCGGGTGGGTTATGGGTTGTTGACTTTTAGTCAATTCGGGTTGCGGTCGGGTTACGGGTCGGGTTGATCGGGCGGGTTAATCGGGTCGGGCTATGTTTTGACACCTATAGGTGTAGGTAGGCACACGTCCCAACAACACTTCAAAAGGCGTCTTACCAGCCAAAACTGAGGAGGGGAGGCGATTGATCAAATAAGTAGCCGTGAGGACACACTCACCCCAGAAACGAACCGGAAGACCCGCGTGAAACCAAAGAGCCCGGGCAGTGTCAACAAGGTGACGATGTTTTCGCTCTACCACCCCATTCTGCTGTGGGGTATTAACACAAGAGGTCTGAAGCAGCGGCGGATCCAGGATATAGTAGAGCACTGGGCCGCATTTAGTAGAAAATTATATACATTAAAGAAAAATATATAATAACTATTTTTTTCATTACACGACGGTCTTTTAATTTAGCAAATTCATCAATAATTGAGTCTTAATCATGCCAATAACATACTATCTCTCAAGAAAGATAGTTAAGCAATCAGCCAAAAAATTCATGCCTTGTGCGCCACATTCTATTTTCCCTATATATGTTTGTATCTCATGATGGGATTGCAACGACTTTCAATTGGAATTTTTTTATTTACAATTCTCTCAATTCGCGATTTCAATACATATATACCAGTTTGATGGATAGGAATGGCCGAAGAGTTGAAGTGCTT